TGTCAGACATCATTCCATCTGTATGGCACTGCATTAAAGGGGTCATATGATGCTGCTAAAAAGAACATTATTTTGTGTATACGAAGCGGATATCATCCTCTTTTGGAAGACCAAACAAAGTAGTTTCGCTTTCACAACGAATCACACAGCGCCTTCACGACATGGCGGCGGCGGCAGCAACAATACTACAGCAAGAATAAAAGTTACGCCTTCTTTCTTTGCGTGAACATTTGGGCGGCGTTATGCAAATCTTCCCACATCGTGACGTAGACATGTGGGGGCGTGTTAGAACGAGGCCGTTTTAGGTAGGCGTGGCTGACTCTTAACTTTGATAAAGAATATCTCTTTGGATTTGAGACTTTAGTCTTTGCAACTTTACAGATCTTCTTTATGCACCAAGAGCTTGTAACACTCCAAAGAGAAAGGAAAAAATGAAATCACATCATATGACCCCTTTAAGTCAAATACACCTAAATCCTCTCCAGTGGCATCATGGGATTGTAAAGTGTCCATCAGATCAGAATCTCAGAGGTAGTCCTTCACCCGGTTACTTTTTTTCCTACTGTTTCATGACGACTGTGAATACGGACAATACTACTCTTTTTATATACTTTTTGCCTACTGTAAGAAAGTATGCTTATTCAGATGCAGTTCACTGGCAATAGCAAGTAGCTGACTTTCCTGAAATTGCATACTTCCCACTGTATAGTAGGGAGAAAACAGTATGCTACAGTAGAATTCACAGTATTCCCAAAACTAAGGATTAACTACTTCGTATGAGATTCTGAAGCGTGCATCCGCCGGTGTACCGACGAAACATGTTACCTATCAGATTGTGCTACCAAAAATATATTTACATTGTTTTAAGCGTACGGGTAGGTTTAGGGTAGGGGTAGGTATGGACATTAAAAAAAGCCTCAAACCACATGAATAAGATGCTGATAGCACAATATGATAGGTAACATTTTCCACTATCGATTTGTGCTACCTATCTTTTTAATAGGAGGTAGCACAAATCTTCAGAACACTGGACACTTTACTATCCCACGAGGCCACAGGAGAGGAGTTGTGAAAGGCAGTAAAGCACACTTGGTACAGCTTGGTACAGATTACATTTAGCAGCCCCAAAGTAACTACTTATTCAAAAGAAGCACTTACTCAGAGAGTCTATGATTTCAGACCTAGCCCTTTTGTCATGTTCTGATCCAACCTCCTTATTTCCAAGCAAATGACCATCAAGTGTTTATATAAAGAAAGGAAAGTGTCTACCTGCAACTAACGTTACACCACTGTAACCTGAAAGTGTAACATACCTGCTTTTGAATGTGAGAAGCTTCACCTCAGTGTCATATCAATCTGATCTCTGTCACAAACCCTCCTTTGTGTTTAACCTGGAGTTTATTAAATGTACAAATGGTGAAGTTACTTTCTGTCCTATCAGCAAAACAATGAAGATGTTTAGTATGTAACGTTACTGTACCTGGTGTCACAAGTGCAGCTCAGATGTGTAGCGCGTGGAGTCCATGAGAAATGCAGCTCTGACTGATGTATCTCATTCATTTCATATAAAACGAGTACTTCCTCAAGCACAGTCACAGCCACACTTCCAGCGTAACAGAAACTATGTTTGACAGTCATGTTACTGTGTCGCGTCAGACTGTCAGTTTCACCAAAACTTTCCAAATGGAGATGGGCTTTTGCTTAGTGACATCTACAGTAATGGGTGTGTATTGCATGATTTCTTTTTCTTTTCTTTTTTAAACAAAAATAATATTTTCATTCTGACAGTCTTGGGAATATTAATGGGGTTTTACATCAGCAGAACGTTCTAAAAGTAGGTTTAAAATGTGCTGTATTGACTTGAAATGTACCCAGAAAACAAGTAGAAATAAAACTTCCATCATTTGAATGAATATCTGAAAGAAAAATAATAGTTTCTGTAATCTGCACCAATTTGTTAAAATATTAATAAGTAAGTAAATAACATAATTTCTGTGCAAAAAAAATTTGTATTTGTTAAAAAACTTATTGTGATATTCTAAAGTAGTTTTCTTTATTTTAAGTAATTTTCTTTAATTGAACTTTACTTAGGATAAGAAGACTGTAAGGAGAAATCTATAAATGATTCATTACTCATGAATGAAATGCAAATTGTTTTGGTAATATTTATAAATATTTTTTTAGTTAGTTATTTTTAGTGTTGTCAAGTCGATTAATCGTGATTAATCAATTTGCAAAATAAAAGTTTGTGTTTATATAATATATGTGTGTGTACTGTGTATATATATATATATATATACACACATACATTTATATATTTAAGAAATATATGTCATATATATTTATTTATAATATAAATAATATATAAATATGAATATATGTATACATGTAAATATTTCTTAAATATATACATGTATGTGTGTGTGTGTATATATATATATATATATATACACACACACACACATATAGTATGTAAACACAAACTTTTATTTTTCGGATGCGATTCATTGCGAGTAATCATTCTGACAGCATTTATTTTATGATTATTTTAAAATCATTTTTATGTAGCCTAACACACTTTGAATTACCATTGTGTATTAAATGTGCTATATAGCCTAAATAAACATGCCTTGCCTTTGACTTGCGTTATTGTTTGTTGCTTAATTTAGTAAATACTGGATTTTTTGACGTAGAAATAATAATTGAATAATAATAATTTATTATTATTTATGACTTACAGTGCATTCCGGCTATACATTTTTTACCAGAATGCGCGGACATGAAACTTTTTATTCATCGTTAAGATTTTAGATTAAAATGTATATGTTAAAATTCAGTTGTCAGTATATTTAACCGACTTTTTGCCTTGCATTTACCTTTATTCATGATGTGAGTGTGTGTGGTTGCTCGAGTTTGGGTAAAGTACACAAGGATTTAACGTTGAACAATGATTAAGATAAAATATTAAGTAAAACAGAGACATATACTAACATTTAACTATATAAAAACACAAAGTATGCTTTATATTATGCGTATTATGCATTACACTTTCATTTTATTATTGTGAATATGTATCACTATATTAATGTTGTTGTCGTTCTCCTCCTGACCGCTGGGCGGCAGTGGCGCACTAAGCAGCCGCGCATTCCTTACAGTAAAACACAGTGAATGAAAAGCACGCGTGTGAACATCATATGACCCCTTAAATTTTTTTTGTTCCTTCTGCTTGTTTCTTCTCTGTACTGGTTTTTCCGATTGCTGTCATTTTCTGCAGGAGACGGCTTCCCACAATTATGCTGAAACTGCGTATGGCTCAGAACCTGAAGACTGCCATAACCTTCATCGAGCAGGGCCGTATCCTTCATCAGAAATCACACTGAAGAATGCACACTAGGGTTGCAAAGGGGTGGAAAATTTCTGGTAAATTTCTTAAAACTTTCTAAAAATCCTGGAAAGTTTCCAAAATGTCTGGAATTTTTCCACTTTTTTGCAACCCTAGTGCACACACACACACACACGTTATCTGTATTATACAGATGTATGCAAGGGTGTAACTTTGGTTTGAGAAGTGGGGGGGACACAAAATGTTTTCGATTTGAATCCCATTTCCTGCATGTACATACATTTAGGGACTATGGTGATACAAAATCCAGGAAATAATTAAGTTGATTAATGATCAATTCTGCCAAAAAGAAACTATGTATAAGAAAAATATGTTTAACTTTCTTTATTGTTTAATAGGGGCCGATCACCAAGACTTGAGAGAATCATTTTATAAAGTTGAAAATGTTCACCATTAATGTTTTGAATAATGTTTAATTATTTCATTAGAACTTTCAGTGAGCTATTTTTAGAGAGTGCATGCGACGTTCCTGGACGCGGATGCGCACGTCTCTGTGCCCTGCTCGGTCCTGCTCCTCCGTGGCAATGACCGCGTGCGTTTAAAAAATCATAACAAACGAATTTGAAAGTGGGGGGGGGACACAGACGTGGAAATTACGCCCCTGGATGTATGTATTATATACATATTAAGTCAAGTCAAGTCACCTTTATTTATATAGCGCTTTTAACAATACAGATTGTGACAAAGCAACTGAACAGCATTAATTAGGAAAATAGTGTCAATAAGGCGTACGCATTTTATACCTGTTTAATATGTATATATTATCTGCTTCAACATTTAATGACTTGCTGTAATTTCTATAGTTAGATTTCCTTGATCTCTGAATGTGCTGGATGTTCATTTCATTTTAAAGGAATGGTTCAGCTAAAAATTAAAATTTGTAAAGACATTTACTCACCCTCAGGTCATCCAAGATGTAGATGAGTTTGTTTCTTCATCAGAACAGATGGAGGTTCTTCATCCTCTGCAGTGAATGGGTGCCATCAGAATGAGAGTCCAAACAGCTGATAAAAACACCACAATAATCCACACCACTCTTGTCAATTAAAGTCTTGTATAGCCAAAAGCTGCATGTTTGTAAGAAACAAATCCACTGTTTGGCATTTTAACTTTAAACCACAATCTACAATAGCATTTCCTCCAGTGAAAAGGTCCATCATCTGTTGTCCTCTCACTTTTATCAACTGTTTTCACCTTTACATTGTGACTTTTTGGCAAGGAGCAATGGTTTGGGTAAGAACATCTTAACGATGGATTTGTTTCTTACAAACACGCGATGTTAAAAAGGGGTCATATGATGCCATTTCAATTGTTCCTTTCTCTTTGGAGTGTTACAAGCTCTTGGTGCATAAAGAAGATCTGTAAAGTTGCAAAGACTAAAGTCTCAAATCCAAAGAGATATTCTTTATAAAAGTTAAGAGTTAACCACACCCAAGAAACATTTCTCATTATAATCAATATTGACAACAGTTGTTTTGTGGAACAGATTCATCGATGAATAGAAAGTTCAAAAGAAAATCATTCATTTGAAACAGAAATCTTGTAACAATATAAAAGGTTTTACTGTCACTTCTAATCAGTTAAATGTCCTTGCTGAATAAAAACTAATTTCTTTAAAAATAAGCAGTGTGCAAACCTTTTATTAATGAAATTAGTTAAGAAAAATAACATGCATCCCTCCCTGTGTGGACTAATAGTCTGACATCAGACAGGTTTTTAAAGGCACTAAAATTTGTAGAATGACATTTTTATATACAGTGTAATCATATAAGCGCCGAGAGAATCTGATTTTATGCTATTAGGAAATTATTAAAAATAGCTATAAACCCTATTTGAACTAATTGCTCATTAACATTACAATTTTGTTTTTGTTCTTTCAGCGAGATGACTTTGACCTCATTGTCTAAATACAGTAAGAAATGTGGATTTCCACCAGAAATGGTCAGTGCATCAAGAGCAGCTGTTCGTTTGTTATTCATCAAAGAACAAATGTATGTATTTATACTCTGTCAGACATAAATGACCAATTATCATCTTGAACCATGTTAAGTGAGTGAATGCGTTGAGTATGACTATTTTGTAATGATAATTGTAAGCAATAAACCATTACAGTACATTTGTCTGAATTTACTCTGATGTTCCTTGAAAAGCACCTTCACATTTTACACAAGTCACAAACTAAAAATATATTTGACATAGTGGGCTCTGTCCCAACAAAGATGTATAACTTTTTCTCCAGATACAGATGTGATTTCCTATAAACTCCACATGTACTTTGCATAGCTGTTATCAACATCCTGAACATATACAAGGCACCTACACCTAATATACGTTACAACAAAAGTGTAAAAAGACAACAGCATGATTAACTCGACAAAACTCATTGACCGCTACATTCAGTGTCTCAAACAGGCACACTCTTAAGGCCAGAACAGACTCTGGTGTCCGAGCCATTTTTGTGAGTGAGGCCCTGAGAGTTTCTGCTTGAATTTGTCACATACATTCACAGCCACCAGAAGCGCACATAAACGATGAGTGTGATGAAGATCACGGCACCGGCGGCCACTTTAGCATAGGTGGACCGAGTGTTGAGGTACTTTGCATCGCTGCGGTACTTCTTAGAAAGGCTGGACAGATTACTTGCTTTGGAATCCAAGGCTGCAGAAAGAACAGACAGAATACTAAATAATACTTCTACAAATACAAGTGGTTTTGTCTTCCTCAAATGAGCTCAAAAGCCTGAAACCGGCTGCAGCATGTGTTCACTCACCAGATAACGCTTCTCCACGCTGGAGCACTTCCTCGATATTAGCAACCATGATCCTCTGGACATCGTGTAACTCTGAATTGATGCTGCCCAGGTTTCTTCGTGCTCTGCTGTCTATGTAAGACTTTTTGGTTTTCTGAATGTATGTGTCTGGAGACAAATGGGATATCATTTGATCTACACGGTCAACCAACTAATTTGCCATGTAGCGGATACTTTTATTCAATAAAACGTGCCATACTATAAAAACGGCACGCTGAAGTAACCCACAAAGAAGTCTCTTATGCTCACCGGGGCTGCATTTATTTAAAATAACAGTTTCCTATTTTATTATATTTGAAAATGTAATTTATTGCCGTGATGCAAAGCTGAATTTCAAAACAGGAAGTTCAAAAGAACAGCATTTTTTGAAATAGAAATCTTTTGTAGCATTATACAAGTCTTGACTGTCACTTCTGATCAATTAAAAGCATCCTCGCTGAATAAATGTATTCATTTATTTAGAAAAAAACTAATCCCACTGACCCCAAACTTTTGAACGGTAGTGTATATAAACTTTAAGGGAGTTAAAGGGATAGTTCACCCAAAAATGAAAATTTTCATTAATTACTCACCCTCGTGTCGTTCCAAACCCGTGAGACCTCTGTTCATCTTCGGAACACAATGCAAGATATTTTTGATGAAATCCAAGGGCTCTCTGACCCTCCCATAGACAGCAAGGTAACTACCACGATCAAGGTGCAGAAAAGTACCAAGATGATCGACAAAGTAGTCCGTGTGACATCAGTGGTTCAACTGTAAAGTTACCAAGCTACGAGAATACTTTTTTGACGTCATTACGCCGGATCTGGATCAGCGCCAGCGCCGCCACACGCTCGCGTCATGATACTATCGTGAACGTGCGTCCAAAGTGACGCAGTAGAGACGAAAATGTGGAATAAAGTCGTTATTTTTGTTTTCTTTGCACCACTGATGTCACACGGACTACTTTGTCGATCATCTTGGTACTTTTCTGAACCTTGAACGTGGTAGTTACCTTGCTGTCTATGGGAGGGTCAGAGAGTCCTCGGATTTCATCAAAAATATCTTAATTTGTGTTCCGAAGATGACGAAGGTCTCACGGGTTTGGAACGACACGAGGGTGAGTCATTTTTGGGTGAACTATCCCTTTAAATTGTGCTTTCAGATCGCACTGATATAAATAAGATGTCTCGTACCAAATTCGATAAAAGAGTACGGCCGTGACACTGAAGGGACCTTTGTCCCGTACTGCTCACTGAATTCTCCCTCCAGATCCTCCAGATAGGCAAACGCCAGTTTCTTGGGGAATCCTGCTTCACATAAGGCCAAGTAACACACTCCCTTCTCAATGACGTAACTGGAAAACAAGATGTGTTTATGAAGAGTGATGTCAATCAACCACAAACTTTTTTTTCTGTCTTTTTTTCATCAGTCAGGCTCTGAAGGGTTAAAATGACCACAATTGCTTTGAAGTTCATTTCATTTTAATTCTATTTCCCTAAAATAGAATTACAACTCTATACCCTGTCTGTTAGCAGGCACAGTCAGCTCAGTACTTACTGAAAGGACATGGCTCCGGCCTCTAAAGTACAGCGCGCAGGACTCTGCTCGTTCAGTTTTCGGCAAAGCTGCTTGGCTTGACTCTGGTATCTCTGTAAGTCTCGCCCTGACTGTAAAGATCATTAGGTTCATGTATTATGTAAAAGTGCTATACAATCAAAATGGCAATACCAGAGACTCTAAGGCACTGAAACTTGTATAATGTATCATGTATACTTTGTACAGATGTTGTAGTTTGTTGCGTTGACGTGGGTTCACACCACTGCTCTATGATAGAGATATTATCATCATTATATAGATTATACAGATCGCTGGTTCTCACCTGCTCGTCCTCTTGCATTGATGCAGCGAGCGGCAGGCTGTCGGCGACACGAACAATCATCGTCAGCTGCACCATTTCGCCTGTCGTCTTTCCTCTTCAACTTCGGTCTGTTTTAAAGTGAAGCGATCGATTATTTGACTGAATGGCAGAAAGTGACACATTTGAACTGACAGCAGAGTTGGCCGGAAGAGGGTGTGTTACCTCAAATTCTTCCCGGCTTTCGCATTCCAAAGGTTCCGATCATTTATTCATTTATTTATTTAAATAAGAAAAAGATACAAACAATTCTAAATGGTTGTACAATGATAACACTTTTTTTTTTTTGCATTTCTGGGATTTTTGTGCCCGAAAGAGATATAAAAATGTCTAGTATGAAACCTATAAATAACTTACTACATTTTTTTTATATCTCTTTTGTTATATAATACGTTATGTTATGTTATTATATATATATAGTATTTCTTAACATATATTATAACATAGTTATATAGCTATTACATTTTTGATAATTATAAATAATAATATGATTGTCAATTAAAAATGTAAAAACAAATTTAAAAAAACACCTGCATGCTTTAAAAGGCTTACGGTATTTTTAGAAGTAATAAAATACCTTTATTTGTACATAATGCTTCATTTAATTTTCAAAACGATAAATATAGGTTTTTGGGTACTAAATCTACTTCGGAAAAATTCCCAAGCAAATGTCCGATAATAAATTCACAGATGCCTTTCAAAACAACTGTATGAAAGGACAGACCCGCGCGTCTCACTGATATCTTTTTATATATTTTATAAAGCCCTTTTATGTTTTCGCAATCTGTAAATCTGTTATCAGGGGAACTGCTCTGCGCTCGACTGCTTTTGTCTGTGCGCCCGACTAATTCACTGTATCGATTATTCACGTCTGTGTCGAGCTGATTCCGCTTGAACGGGTTTGTCTGATCACGAACAGCACGATTAAACGCAGCATCTGCACTGAAGGTAAGATTAGCCGCTTCAAGTGGTTTATTATGCCTCATTCTGTGTTCATAATTGGAATAATTCCGAGTGAAACGTATCTTTGTGTGACGACCATTGTTGTTGTCCTGTTCTGGTGAACGTTAGCAACAAATCACATCCGCTTTGATTGAATGTGCATCAATAACAGTTTGAGGCTGCGCGTGATCTCCAACGCGAGTTAAGCTAGCCGTGTGTTTGGTTATTATTTGGTTATGGAGTGTTTATTATTATGCACGGTCTCTGCTAGGCCACATCGCTCGCTTGCTGCGGAAGGAGAAGCCGTCATGGGTGCTCTATGATGAGGATTATTCATATTATCATCTTTGTGTGAGTCACTTGTGTGTGTGTGTGTGTGTGTGTGTGTGTGTGTGTGTGTGTGTGTGTGTGTGTCTGTGTGTGTGTGCGTGTGTGCATTATCCATAGACTGTATGGTATTATCCCACTCTGTGTGTGCGTTATCCCGCTCTATGCGCGTGTGTGCTCCGCTCAGTCGCTCGCGGCCCATGTGACTGCTCCATTCATATACCGTTCATGCTCATCGGAACAGCAAAGTCCACTCAAAAATCAAGCTGACAGGAAACATCGATGTAGTACAGTATTGTTTCTGTCTTGAAAAAAGTAATCTGATTACGTAACTCGTGTTACTTGTAATGCGTTACCCCCAACACTGATTGTGAAACATTAAAGAGAATGTGTGTGTGCACAGAGCTGAGTAGTAACTGATTACATGTAATCTGGATTGCGCAATCAGATTCCAAAAATTAAGTACGTGTATACTAATTAGATTAAATTACATTTTAAAATACTCGTAATCAGACTACAGTTACTTTTTATTGATTACATGATTGAATATTATTCACACAATAGCAATAAATTATTCATAGCTACAGATTCAATCAAATAAATTATTTTAATAATTAAGTTATAATTAAATCACATTTGCATGTTCACGGTAGGGTTGTGACGGTGAGGACATTTTCCCACCAGTTAATCGACGTGTGACAACACCGGTAATACCGGTATAACCGGGGCGGGGCGTTCCCTCTTTTCCCTCGCATTCAAATAGCTTGTAATTTTACATTCACTTTCAAATAGCTGCAATTCGGAGTAAAGGAGTTGTTCGTTTTTAGTTCATTTGAATTTTCCCTCTTTTCCTCCGCTTTTAAATAGCTTAATTTCGAATTAGCAGCAGTTCGGCGTCAATTGCTTGAATGCAACAACAGAATAAACCGTCAAACTCACTTTAGCCTATATATAAAACATAGAACTTTTATTAACAAAACAAATAAAAATACACTATGCTATAGGGCAGGTTATGCCTAATTTAAAATAACTTGCATAAAGTTTAAATAGGTGTACAAAACTGGAAATAAGTAAACATGTATAATATATAACCAAATAAATAAGAAAGTAGAAAGTTTACTAGCAAAACGAGTAAGAAAGCTTGGAGGCACGGCATACACCTTGATGCCTTGATGTCTAAATAAATGACACAAAGTTTAAATAAAGTAAAAATCAGCGGTTGGCAAGTGACGTAACCGGTGTTGCGGTGTTGCGGCGGTATCACCGTCAGCACCGTCTATCGCGGCAAGCCTAGTTCACAGTTCTCTGACGTTATTTTTGTAGTAAGTGTTTTATTTTGATGTTTTAAAATGACTTATTTTAATTTGACCTTTTAATGATTTTATTTATTATTAGCTTTTCATTAAACTCATGAACCCTCAGCAGTTAATTAATATAACCTCAGTTTGGGAAACCTTGGCGTAATGTAATGAATATATGTTCTTACGCTTTGTATTTTTATATCAATATGGCACAAGATTATCCTATTTAAATCTATTTGATTAACGAGTTAGGTCAAAAGTAATCAAAAAGTAGTCTGATTACATTACTAACATTAAAATCAGTGTCCAATGTAAAAAAAAATATATAGTGCTACAACTGAAAGTATTTAGCTAAAGCAGGAACAAAAAAAATCAGATTCTCCAAAGCAGTTTCAGAGGGCTGAAATTATTGTCTGAAATGGTGATGTTTAATTAGAGCTTCTCAGATGAAGTGTTTTGACTGTGAATAATCATGGCCAAAAGTTTTGGCAGTGGCATACATTTTTGCAAAATGTTTTGCTAAGTTTGCTGCTTCAGTATTTTGTAGATTATTTTTCCACATGTTTACTGAAAAACAATGATAAAATTTCAATGCAATGATCTTCGAGCCACTTCTTTATCACTCTTGCTTTGTGACATGGTGCTCCATCATGCTGGAAAATGCACGGATCATCACCAAATTGCTCATGGATCATTGGAAGAAGTCGCTCTTGCAGGACGTTTTGATACCATTCTTTATTCATGGAAGTGTTTTTGGGCAGAATTATGAGAGAGCGCACTCCCTTGGTTGAAAAGCAACTCCACACATGGATGGTCTCAGGATGCTTTGCTGTTGGCACAACACAGGACTGAAGGTAGCTTTCACCTTTTCTTCTCCGAACAATCGATTTTCCAGTCGGAAGGGAGCTTCATCAGAGAAAATAACTTTGCATCAGTCTTCTGCTGTCCAATCCTTGTACTTCCTGCAGAATTTCTGTCTGTCCTTGAGGTTTTTCTTGGAGAGAAGGGGCTTCTTTGCTGCTCTTCTTGACACCAGGCCGTTGTCCAAACGTCTTGGCCTCACTGTGCACCATGCAGATGCTCTCACACCAACCTGCTGTCATTCCTGAGCAAGCTCTGCACTGCTGCTGACTCGATTCCGTAGCTGAATCCTCAGGAGGAGACGTCCTGGTGCTTGCTGGACACTCTGGGACATCCTGAAGACTTCTTCACTGCAGTCGAACCTCTCTTCTTGAAGTTCTTGATGATCCGGTAAATGG